ACATTTTGGTGACCAGGTTTGTAAACTAATTTTGCTCGTATTCCTCTATTAAGTTTTTCCATCTCTTTAATTTGCTATTCGGATTTTTTCCGATACAGAATATATTAATGATTGGTGGTCTGTATAAATTGTTAAATCTGCCACTCCGTATAAATAATTTCGTAATTTTTGGAGTGCCCACACTATAGCTAAGAGTTCCTTTTCATTGGTACTATAACCCTGTTCGGTATCGCTTAGAATTCTGGAAATAAAAGCGATTGGTTTCCTATTTTGTGCAAGTACAGCTCTTATAGCGAAGGTTTTCAAAAGGTTTTCAAAAATCTGGCTGATACAACTGTACCTGTGCTTGTAATTCTAATTTAAATTTTGCAAAGGCCTGTATTGCAGCTTCATCTCATTTTATTTCTGTTTTCGCGCTTTTATTTTTTTCACCATACCTTGTTCTCCTCTGAGATGTATAGTCAAGGGTTTTGTTATTTTTGCAAAATCTTTAATAAATTTTCTATAGTATTTAGCGAGTCCTAAAAACAGTCTCAGTTATTTTAAAGTTTGTGGTTCAGGAAACTCCTTAATTGTTTCTATTTTATTTGGGTCTACAGTTACCCTATTGTGTTTAAAGATATGTCCTAAGTATTCAACGGAATCTTTAAAAAAAAATGCGACTTCATTCGAGTTCTTCATATTAGCATTATGGAGAGCATTGATTATAGTTCGATTGTGTTCAATATGTTCTTCAGGTGAAGAAGAATATATTAATACGTCATTACTATAAACAAATGCGAATTTTTCAATATAATCACGCAAAATATCGTCAACGCATCGTTGAAATATTGCCTATGCATTTTTTAAACCAAAAGGCATCCTTACAAATTCATATTTTGCTCCATTTACCGAAAATGCTGTATTTTCTCTACATCTCTCTTTAATGAGAATTTGGTGGAATCCTGATTCTAAGTCTATCGTCGAAAATATTTTTGCTTTCCCTAGACTTTGTATGGTCATGTTTACATCGGGTATCGGGTATCTATCTGTAATTGTGCGAGAATTTATTTTCTGGAAATCGACAACCATCCATCTCTTGGGTCTGCCTTGGTCATCGGTGCCCTTTTTGGGAACGGTCCATATAGGAGAATTATATGGGCTTTTGTTCGGCTGAATGATTCCTTCTTTTAGCAATTTATTTATTTCGCTTTTAACAAACTCATGGTCTGCCATCGGATAAGGGTATTGCTTAGTCCATATGGGGTCGTCCGATAGAGTTCTAATTGAAGCTTTAATTGTTGTTGTAAACGGCTAATATAATCGTTTCTTTGCATAATTTGACAAATTTCCTTTTTGTAATTTTCATCGTTTAGGGTATAATTTATTTTTTGTTCTTTTATCCTCTTTTTTATTTTAGGCTATAATCAAATAAGTCAAATAAAATCATATCGTAGTCATTTAGTTCCTTAAATTTCACAAAAGGATAAATGGTGTAATAACTTTTTTTGATGTTATTACTGAGTATCCATGCAATATTTTTGTAGCGTTGGCTCAATTTGCACAGATTTTGCTTTATCACAACTGAAACTAATATAATTATTTGTAGCTCCTGTATCTACTAAAACTGTCACTGGTTTGCCAGCCATATCGCATTTTGTTACAATACATGGCAAACCTTTTACACGAATAAAAAAGTACTTCCCGTTTCATATTTTTCTTCAAAATTTTCTAGGTCTTCTACCTTGTCTTCTTCTTCGACTGTCTGATTTATCCTCTGTATTTTTTGAGGATTTATATTTTGATTTGACGGCACTCTTTCTCTTTTAAACGGATTATTAAAATTATTATTATTAAACCTATTATGCATACCATTCTGAGTTGAGCGGACAAATTGACGCGACGATTTTGTGTACTTGTTGCTATTGAAAGCGCTGGTTGTTGCGATGTAATTGAATTCCAGGATTGAAGCGGTGCTGTCTGTCTTCATAGCGTTGTTGTGGACGATTGTCAGGATAGCGTTGGCGTGGAGGTGCTGCTGGTTGTAACTCGAACTGCTGGTTCGCATTGTCGTGGTGGATGGTACAAGCGATTGCATAGGCGACTTCCAAGTGGTTGGGATTGTTACTATAAAGCGTACCACCAGTATATTTGCTGTTTACTCCCATAATGAAGGTACGAACGTCTTCTTGGTTTCCATAATCCTTCATTACAATGTTATTCTGGTCCCCGGACATTTCTATTTTGGACAGGGCTAAATTAAGTGCTTTACTCACTTCATTATATAATTGAGAAAGCGTTTGTCGTCCCTGTTTTAGTTTTTTCATTTCGTCCAGTAACACGTAAAGTGGTCCTTGGTCGGCATCGGTATAATCCAAACGGTTGATTATGGCGTAGAAATTGAGTTTGGTATTATGGTTTAGTGCGTAAAATACCTACTGCGCTGTAATAGCGAGGGTGACAAGCAAAATTCTTAATTGAGTCCATGAATGTCCACGCTTGTGATCGCCAGGATCTATATTGGGCTCTGTCTCCATCAAATCGTGGTAAAGATTTGAATAGCTCCAAATCTATGTCATTGGGATTATTGAAGATGAGGCAAATCTCTTCATGTTGTACTATTGGGGTAATTTGCTGGGAATTGAGTAAAAGATGTTTGTTGCGCCTGCATAGTAATAACTAGATTTGCTAGTTGTGCTTTTAGTGCGGCTATTTCTTGTTCCATATTGAAGTTTTCCTTTATTTCGCGATTTTCGTCGAAAATTATGTTTTTTGTACCCCTGATTCTCCGTACTTGTTCCAGTTTGTTGCACGTTGTTTTATATTCCGATTTTTCAGGAATCTATCTGTCACAGGGTTCGATTGCTGTCCGCTATTTCAGAATCTGCTTGCAAATAATTGTGACAATGGAAGTCTTACTTCCCGTGGGATTTTTTAAATTTATTATATTCTGTTTTTCATTGACGTCAGAAATAGAAATTGCTTTTTTTGGACCGGTTGAGACCCCAGTTAAAGCTCCGCGTAGAGAAAATATAAAAAAAAAATATTTTTTTTTCTGAGCAAGAGCTCCTCCTATATCGAATTCCGGATGTTTTAGAATTGAGTTTACATTTTGATGCTTACATCTATTTATACTATTTTTACTAGTTGATGATAAATATTGTTTGTTTGTAGATTAAGATTGTTTCTGAAAAGTGTTTACAGGTTTTGTATAATGTTATCATGTTGCTATTGTTACTTATGTGAGGGAACAAATGGTATATTTGTATTAATGTATGTGTGTAGTGTATGTATGTATATACTAACGTCGTTAACTACAAATAATATATTTGCATTTGGTATGCTGTTGTTTATCGATATTTGGATTTGGAAACAATAATTAATGCATGTATGTATATACTAACGTCGTTAACTACAAAGAATATCACCCCTATGCTGTAATCCGAAAGTTCGTAGTTACGAATTCGTAGCTCCGTTCCGAAAATTCGAAAATTGGTATGCTGTAATCCGATCGTAACTATCAACGGCGTTGCCAACTAAAATAGTGAAATTCGAAGTCCTTAATCAGTTGCTTTGACAGAAACAAATCAAAATAAATAAAATCGCAAGTGAACAGTGAACTTAAAAAAAAATTTTTTAATCGTATTTGAAAAAGCTTTTCCTTAATTAAGTAAAATATAATGGATTCAGTGGCCGGTGCACTTTTATCTCAGGAGGAAGAACATGCTGCAGTCAACTGTTGCATTAATATACAAAGGAGATTGCTACGAGACAGTTCTGATCCCTTTAGCTTAAATGATAAAATGTAAGTTTTATAATTGATTTCACTGATACACACATAAATTAATCGTTTAAATGTTTAAAGATTTGTAAAAAATTTCCGCCTCAACAAAGACGCATTTAAAAGCGTTTTAACTATTATGGAGGAAGAGCTTGGGCGAAGTTTAAAATCATCATCGGTGACACCTATAAGTAGATTGATGGCAGTTTTGAGGTTTTTCGCTGAAGGAAGCTACCAACACGGTGTTGGGAAAGATTTTGATGTGGGGTTGGCGCAATCCACGTTCTCAAAAACATTGACAAAAACTTTAAACATTTTGGAACGCCGATTGTGCCCAGTATGGATTAAATTGTCAATGACGGAGGAGGAGAATAAACGAGTCAAAATGTGGTTTTACAGGAGAACGCAATTCCCTGGCGTTATTATGTGTGTGCACGGCACGCACATTAAAATACTTCCTCCTGCACACGAACCGTATTTGTACTACAATCGTAAGGGATACTATAGCCTAAATGCAATGGTGGTAAGTAAAACCACAAGAGCAAAGTGATTTTGTACGTGCAATTTATCGTAAATTTATTAAACAGATTTGCGATAACAAGATGCAAATAAGATGTGTTGATGCTCGGTTTCCAGGCAGTAGCTACGACTCAGATGTGTGGAATGTAAGCGCTGCAAAAACCTATTTTGAAGAGAGATATCGGCAAGGAGACAAAACATCTTGGATATTAGGTATGTTATAAGTGGAATGAGAGCAAAATGTGTTAAATATAAATAAAAATATTTTGTTTAACAGGCGATGCTGGATATCCATTACAGCCGTGGTTAATTACACCATTCCGTACTCCTGTGGCAGGAAGTCGAGAAAGCGCCTTCAACAAAACGCACAGTAAAGCGCGCAACATAGTCGAGCGAGTCATCGGCGTTTTGAAAAATAGATTTCGATGCCTGCTAAGTGCTCGCCAACTACATTATTCACCCCAAAAAGTGGTATGCGCATTGCATAACATGTGCATCCACTACAACGTAGAAGATAATACACCTGATATTATGGATGATGAATATGAAGATGTAAATGAAAAGGAAGCGCCATCAGAATTTTCCAGAGAAGCGTCAGACATAAGAATGCGAATTTTGAGATCATTACCTAACTAATGAAAACAATCCCATAACTTTGTACTTCATATTTATTTGATATAAAAAAATTTAAAATAAATTCAGTTCTTTTCTTAAAACTAAATATACAAAAAAATCAGTCGTTTTCTTAAATCTAATAGTTTGTACATATATACAGTTATCACAAGCGTTAGTTCATCTCTTTAGTTCAGTTCTTTTCTTAAATCTAATGGGGGTATACATATATCACAAGCGTTAGTTCATTTCTTTAGTTCAGTTCTTTTCTTAAATCTAATAGTTTATACATATATACAGATATCACAAACGTTAGTTCACTTCTTTAGTTCAGTTATATTCTTAAATCTAATAGTCTTAAATCCAATAATCTTTAAATAAAAAAATTAAAAAATCAGTAGTTCAGTGCAAAATTAAATTAAATTCAAAAATAAAAAAAAATCTTAAAAATAAATTTATCCATTAGTTCATTTATGCTGGCTTCTTTCTTGTATCCGCAGTAATTTTTCCTGCAAATCAAGCTCCCTTCTTTTAAGGGCCTCCATTTCAATATTGTGCCGCTTTAATTTACGCAATTTTTCCTTCTTCATGTCATACATGTTCTCTTGCACTTGGTACGTGAGTCGCACGTTATCTGCTCTAAAAAGGCCAAACTTTTTTGGTAGTAGCTTCGTTGCAAATTTATTTGCTCCTGTACCAAAGTGGCCCTGTCGTTTTTTTAACGGAGGGGAATGCCTCTGCACATTGGCATTGTCTGGCTCAGTTGGCATAGGAACGACTGCCGCAGGTTCCACCACCGGTTGGGTAACCGTCTGAGTTGTTACCACACCAAAAGAGACAGCTCCATTGATCCCCGATGTGGAAGTGTGCAAACCCGTCAACTCGATCACTTTTTCCTCCAACTCATTGAAATTGTGCATTCTGTTGGGTCCACCACCAGTTGCCCTCGTCTCTGCTTTATTGGCGGAACGCTTTCTTTTAATGTAGCACTTATAATCGAGCCATACCTTGAAATAGTATTAATATAAGGAAAACAATGATAAATAAATTTTGTGCTCTTAAAATTGTATCCGCACCTTTTTCCAGCTGGATACATCTTTTTTCGATGGGCCTAAGCTGTTTAGCTGCTGAGCGACGCCTTCCCAAAACTCCACTACATCCTCTTTAGCTCCTTTTGCAAAGCGAGTAATGTCCGGCCTTTCGGTCATGCATTCTACCATTTTTTCGTATTGCGACCGATTTGTTGTGATCTTCGGCCTGATAATTTTGTAAATATTTAACAATAATCCATTTTTTCTATTCACACTTTAAATTACATATTTTTCCTTTACACACTTTATTTTATTGATATTTTAAAAGAATTCGCTTCGCTCCGACACCAGTTGCTCTTCGTAGAAAATTTCTGACAAATACATACAAATTACAGCTACGTCGGATTCAGGCATACCAACATTACGAATTTCGAAGATGGTCTCCGAATTTCGAAATTACGATACGGCAACGCGGATTACAGCATACCAATTTTACGATTCGTAGCAAAATCGAATCTACGACGGATTACAGCATAGGGGTGTATATTTGCATTTGGTATGCTGCTGTTCATCGATATTTGTGTTTGGAAACTATAACTAATGTATGTATGTATGTATGTATGTATTGTATGTATTGTATGTATGTATGTATAGGCAATGGCAAACCTCCGAGTGTATTTCTGCCATGAAAAACAGCTTCTCATAAAAATACAATCGCCGTTCGGAGTCGGCGTAAAACTGTAGGTCCCTCCGCTTTGTGTGACAACATCAAGGCGCACGCCACAAATCGGAGGAGGAGCTCGGCCAAACACTAACATATGTGTAAGCGCCAATCTATTATTATTATTATGTATATACTAACGTCGTTAACTCGGTCGATGTCTTCTTCGATAAGACGATACTGCACGGGTGGCACGGGTGCATATTGTATCCGGCGCAATTCAACAGAGTTGAATTGCTGTGCAACTTCGTCTCTGGGCCGCAGCTATTAACATTCCATGCCGGCCCATGAAGACGGTTATCTCCTCGATCTAGCTCTGAAGTCCGTTACAGTTGAATTGTAGCACATTTGTGTGCCTTGGGACACTAATTGTGATGCGGGGTGTTAGTGAGTTGTGTTGTTTGCCAGCCCCCTGCTGTATGTTCTGCAGACGGCGCTGCTGCCAAGGCATGAGTTGCACTTGACTGATGTCACGTTACGGTATATTCTGGACAAACCGAGCAGATTGTCGGAGGGACTAGGAGTTGCCGGCGCCGTTGTGTGGGTGCTGTAGTGTTCGTATGTGTGTCTATTGCTGTGTCATGTTGGGGTGTGGGTGTGTTAGTGTTGTGCTGCTCGTGCGGGGGGCGGTTTGCAGTGGTCCGATTCGCACAGCTTGGGGCCACGAGCGACGTGGTCCATTGCCGGTGCGTACGTAGGCCCTAGTAGGTGCGGAGATGACTCCACCCCTCACAGGGGTGCACCTCACCGAGGTGGAGTTTGCATGCAATCGTCTCTGGCATACGCAACAGGTGTAAATTTCTGGCCCTGGGTTTGACTCTTTGCCAGCCCTGAGCAGAAGGATACGGAGTAGATATAGCCCCATTGTTGAATAACATTTTATGGATTTCGCCGACCTAAAAAAGAAACAGCCCTTGACCGGGTAAAACCCGAGTCATGCCGGTACGTGGAGCCCGCTTTCGTGGGAATGATAAAACGGCGGGTTCCACAGGGTAGTGTCTTTTCACCATTACTGTTTAACTACAATATTTCCAAGCTCCCTCAACCACCAGAGGGAGTCTCGATTGTCTCTTACGCTGATGATTGTTCGATAATAGAGTCTGGGAATGGAACTGATGATGAATTGTGTTCGAAAGTAAACGGGTATCTCTCCGAGCTTTCTCGCTTCTTCACTGCAATCAGCCCTACCCTCTCTCCTACAAAATCCTCTGCCACCCTGTTTACCACCTGGACGAAGGAGGTCAGCCTACCGCTGGGTATGATGATACACCAAATCCGACGGAGAATAACTCGAAAATACTTGGAGTAACTTTATACAACCTCTCTCCTCGCATACGCCGCAATAAGGTCCGCAAGTCAGTAGCCGGCAGTATTTGGGGCAAAAACAAAGAAATGTTGCTGGCAACATACAAGGCAATTGGCCGGTCGGTTCTAAATAACGCAGCACCAGTGTGGTCGCCGGGACCAGTAGGACGCAGTGGATGAAGCTGCAGACAACACCAAACACAGCACTTCGGACAGCGACCGGATGTCTTCTGATGTCGCCAGAACATCACCTACATGACGAGGCGCAAATGCTCCCTATAAGGGAGCACAACACAATGCTCTGCAAGCAATTATTAGTAGAGTCACAGACGTGGACACCCGAACAGACACTAGCTTGCAGAGGAGCCCTCGCCAAAGCATGTCAGAAGGCATCTATACGAACTGACGGACGAAGTTGCTTTATGTTCCTCTGGACCCTTCAGCATATCGACAGACCCTGAGCGGCATTCACAGGGAGTCAGTCTCAAGTTACGTAGACTCCAGACCTGTGAATGCCGTTATGGGCACACAACCACCTGACCTGGACGAGACGGAGCTTCGTCTGCATCGGGAGACTCGGACCACAATAGCCCAACTTCCCTCTGGCTACAGCAGCAGGTCGAACTCATACCTGAGCAAATTAGATGCAGATGTGCCCCACTTTATATACTGCCCTACGATGTTCTTCCTAGCGGGGGACTAGCATGTAGATAAGCTGGAAAAAATGCAAAATCGAGCGATGAAATTCATCCTCAAAAAACCGTATGACACACCAACAAGATGTATACTTGAAACCTTGAATTGGTTAAGCGTGAAGCAACAAGTTTTTTACCACGCTATGAAATTTGTATACAATATTAAGAAGGACAACCTGCCGGATTATCTTAGCGATAATCTACGATATATAAATGAGACCCATACATATTTGTTAAGAAAGAAAACAGCTTCAGACTCTCGAAGTGTAGAACAGAAGTGGACAAAAAAAAAATATTTATTATAAAGGCTTAAAGTGCTTTAATGAATTACCATAGGCTATAAAAAACTTTGATACTATCACTCTTTTCAAACGGCTGCTATATGACTATTATAGAACTCAGCCTATAAGATAGTGATGTACGAACAATAGCATGGATTGAAAACTAGGCTTTTCCAAACACCAAGATATAGACTAGGCGACTGGACGAATCGGAAACTCGGCCTTTTCGACCAGCCAGGAGATATCAAGATACGGAGAAACCCAAAAAGTATAGCGCGGATTGCAAACTCGGCCTTACCAACCGTCTACAAAACCTCCAGCCAATGGCATCTGTTACACTGATATAAAATAATTGCAGTGATAAATAATGTTATTTAAAAATTTCCGCAGAGTAATCATATTTAATATTTAAATTTTAAATCTTAATCTAATTCTAAGAGTGTTAAATCTTTGTTATAATATAAGTCTAACATACTGTAAAAAATAAATAAATAAATAAAAAATTAGTGTCCGTCATGCGGAGAGACACCCCACGACTCGGAACATCTCTCCGCATGCCCACAAAACCCCACACAGCTAACGCCTCTGTCCCTGTGGTCACACACTATTCACAGCACGGTTCTTGGCTGTTCCCTTAGTTGAGCTTGACGGCCAATCTGGGCGGGGTGGTTGTAGCCGCTACAACAACAACGATGATTATAATTTGGCAGAAATTAAAACAAAAATTTATAATGACGCACATAAATAAGCTCATTTGATTTGATTTTCTACTTTTTCGGTATATAAATAAGTATCCAAGAAACTTACTCTTACACTATGAAATATATATGTACAATGTATTGCCCATTTATATCTTTAAAGTTAAAGAAACTAGACTTAAGCATATTGTCGCTTACAACGTGATTCGCGGAGACCATTCAAATACTTAGAAACATTGGTATGGGATACATAAATGGCGAGTGGTCAGTGATTTAAAGGTTTTATCAATTTGAATGAGAATGCAAGGAGGATATACTAGTGCCCTTGTTGTTGTTGTAGCAGCAGTACTCAACCCCCCGGGGTTTCATCCAGGGTCGTCTTCGTCCTTTGACTCGACAAGCCTGAGGCCGAGAAAGCGGGCGGCGTCTATAGGCGCGGTCAATAGTGCTTCTGGTCTCAGGGTCGTGGGGTTAGAGGCGCATGCGAATAGGTGTTGGGTGTTGTGTGGACCTTGCCCGCATGCAGGGCATGTGTCTGCCACTTCTGGGTTCAGCCGGGAGAGATAGCTGTTTAGTCTGTGGCACCACCCAGAACCGAGTTGTGCTAGGGTGCACCTGGTCTCTCTAGGCAGTGAGAGCTGCTGTGATGTACTCGACTCCCACTGGTCCTAGCTTTTTCAGCATCTGCATCGAGATTCCGTCGGGGCCTAACTCCTTGGATGCTTTGGCGTTCTTTACAGCTGCCTGCGTCTCTTCTGGTGTAAAGCACGTTAGTGTGTCTCGGGGGCGGAGGTTGTGTGCTTTACGTAGCACACTGCGGCGAGCTTTGTCTCTCTCCGGGTGTGCAATAAACTGCCGGCAGAAAAAGCGCGCGCACGTCCGTGGGTCCGACGTGGTGGTATCGCCGAATGTAAGGGAAACGTTGGGAGAGAGATTTTACTGTCGTCCACAGTTTGCTAGCTCCGCTGGAGAGATTGCAGGTCTTGAGGTGCTCATTCCACGTTTTCCGCTTGTGTTCGATAACCAGTTTGTTAATGTCCTTGTTGAGATCCCTGATACGGGGATCACCAGGATTAGACTGGCGGATTCGATCACGCTCGTCTGCGAGTCCCGCCGCTTCAGCTGGAAAGCCCGAACGGATTTTGGCGATCCTACCGGCTGGTATGAAGCGGGCGCTGCTGCGTTGATGATCCGGCTGATGTTGCGCTCAGCTTCGCGCGCGCATGTTGGTGGTGGAAGAGCATTGAATTTGCGGTCCGTGTGTTCCGTAAAACCGTCTCAGTGGGCCTTCTTGGTGTTCATATACGTACGGTCTTCGGATGTGACAAAATCTCTTGGGTGGTCTATCGCGACTACTATGGACAGGTGGTCTGATGCGAGCGTGAGCACTGGTTGACAACCAGTGCAATTTATCAGACCCCCGCTTGCTATAGTGATATCTGGCGAGCTGTAGTAGTCACCCGCGACACTGGTGGGGGCATCGTCGTTTACAGCGCAAAACGTTGAGTCGTTTTTCGCCTTTAAGTAGCGCACTTATGTTCGGGCGGTATCCTGCTGGGCAGCTGGTGGCAGGTGGTATATACACGTTGACGACTTCCAGCTCAGTATCTCCCGACTTGATTGCCACACCTTGGTGCTCAATGAGTGTGTCGTTGGCGGCGATTCGGGGGGTAATGAGCCGGTATTGGACCGCGTTGTGCAATAAAAAGGCGATGCCGCCTCCGGCGCCGCGAGGGCGGTCTCTTCGGATGACGTTGAACTCATCCTGACTCTGAATGCTAGAGCCGGAGTGGAGTTTGGTTTCCTGGACCGCCGCGACTGAGATTTTGTTGCGCCTCATGAAGCTGACTATCTCAGCGATCTTGCTTTGTAGTCCGTTGCAATTGAACTGCAATAATTTGAGGGAGTTGGGCCTGGTGATGGTTATTCGCGGGGTGAGGGTGTGCTGACGCGCTGCCTGAACTGCTTGCTGTGCCGGTTGTGTTTGTTGCGGGTGTGGTGGTCCGGCCGCTGGTTTTGTCACCGGTATTGGCGCCGGTGTGGGTGTGACCGTGGGCCGCGGTTGTGGGGTTACCGCTGGCGTTGGCATTGGCACAGACGTAGCTGCAGGCGATTGGGGTTGTGTGGTAGCAGAGCAGCATTCTGCAGTGAAAGCAGTACTCCATTCGCGATGGTGTATGAGGCCGGAGCAGCGTTTCAGGTGGCACCAGTTGTTGCATGCGTTGTATCTTACTGATGTGGTGTTACGTCTTATCAGGTTGTTGCAGACGCTGCAGAACCATCTGCTTTGAGTGGATGTCCGTGGTTGTGTGCTGGGAGTTGATCCACTGGCTGTTGGTTGGGCGGGCGCTGTTTGTGTGGAATGCTGGGCTTGCTGTGGATTGTTGCAGCACGATGCAACAAAGTTAGCACTCCACTCCCTATGGTGCCGGAGGCCTGAGCATGCTTTCAGATGACACCAGTTATTGCAGCTGTGGCAACGGACTGAGGTGGACGAGTGGTATATTTCGGTTGCAGATACTGCATGTCCATGGTCCGGGGTTTTGCTCTATGCCGGCGCGGACCAGTAGTATGCGGAGCAGACTTGCCGGTAGGTCATGCTCCCAGTGCGAAAAAAATGGTGGGGTTTCTGCTGGGGTAATGGTCCTTGGTCGGAGTGGGTGCTCCGAGTCAATCCGGTAACGTAGAACCGACCATCTTGGAATTGTTATCTAGTGCCCTTATTTTTGCGAATGAGATAGTCGTGCGGTGAATAAAAACGAAGGAAAAGAGTGTCGATACTGAGAGTGTCATTACTGACAGCGGCGCGAATGTTTGCTATCGGTGTGAATGGAGCAGACATTCGTAAATTCCTTAAAGTATTATAGACTTTGCTTACTATTGAGTTAACATGGTCAATGAAGATAAGGCCGGTGTTGATAATAAGCCCAAGGTTAGTTACTTTTTGCCCAAATTTAATGGGTTTGCCACATATGAGTTATGATAGAATAGCTGCTAGGTTAAGACGTTTCTTACATATAGGTAAAACAAAACACTTGTCATAATTAAGATAAAGACATTTAGCAGAGCCCAAGACCTAGCTGAGTCCTCAAGAGGACGTGACATATAGAGCAGGACATCGTCCGCATAGCCATGCATAGAAATGTGAAATATGTCATTAACGAACAAACTAGATAATAGTGGTCCTAAGATTGACCCTTGTGGGATACCGATTAACAATGGCCTTAGTTCAGATATTTGATATACAACTTTGACACGTTGAGACTCCTCTTTCAAATAGCTAATTCATCAGTTTCACTGTTTACTCTCCAAACCCAAAGTAGTTTTTTAATTTAAAGCACAGTAGTTCATGGCTAACTGAATCAAAGGCTTTAAAGAAGTCCAGCAAGCATAGTAAAGTTAAGTAGTACTTCAACACTAGGGCTGGATGCAGATTTATTTTTGGGTACAGGTGGTGTGACTATGATTTATTATGGGTATTAAGGTTGACAAAATTATCGCTAAAATTACCTTCACAAACCTAATCGGAATGCCATCTTCACCAATAGCGTTGGAACTGATCTTAAAAACAGATTTCACTAGATCAAGCTCACTCACAGCAATGAACTCACACTTTTTCGCCAGCAAAAGAGACCGGACACGAGGCTACAGAATTGGTGGTAAGGGGACCGGATGAAGACAGGGAAGCAAAGGCAACGCTGAGCGTTTCAGGACTCAGCAAGCATTCTGATTTCTCACTGGCATGGACGCGGAGTGTTCGCAGATTTCGCCACAATACATTATTGGGCAGTGAGGGATCCAGCTTTTTCATAAAAAAAAAATTTCTTTTCACATCTTATAACCGAGGTAGCTTCATTTGTTATTATTTTGGAAGCACTCCAGTTCTCATCTTTCCATATGTTATAACTAGGGAAGACAAAAGTATGCAAATGCATATCGCATAAGCAAATCGTCGTTTAACGTACAAAACCGCGTATCGTCATTCTGCAAAACCGCGTAACTGACATCGGCTGCCGAAAATTGGCTTAATCCGTATCCATTCGTCCTGAAATATGCCAGACAGAAATGCGATTGCTTTATAAAAAAGAGAACCATTTTGAAATATGAATGTTTTTACTCTCTAGAAAATAATTTATGCAACCTCACATACGCGGTTTTGCATTATCTTGATATGCGGTTTTGCATTTTGTTGATACGCGGTTTTGTACTTTAAACGACGAAATGCATATTTAGGCGAAAAGGCATAAAAATGATTATTTTTGTAATAAGCTACTTAATTTTCGCATAATTTCATCTGACAATACCTTTTCGGAGATATCCAGGGTTGCTGACGAGGTTTGTTTAATTCACAAAAAGGAAAAGCTGACAAACAACGTAAAGTCCCGTTATTTTTTAGTAAACAATTGTATTATGCTCGTAAAAATATTTCGACTGTTGTTTTCCAATAGTGAAGTTCCACGCTAAACCGGTTTCGTGGTTGAAAAATTGTATCAAACCAGTTCCCAGGGGCTGGATTCTGTAACTGTGAGTTTTCAAGTATACACTGACAATTATGTGCACTCTTCATTTTGCGATTCAGGAAGTCTGAGAATGCGTTGTAGTTGTAAAAATTGTGTACACTTCCTCACTTCGCGATCCAGCAAGTGTGAAAATGAGTTTTAACTGTCAAAATTGTGTACTTTTCTTCCGAAAAACCCACTGAATTTTATTCGGTGAGTTTTCGGTTGTGAGTTTGGCACTAAGTGTACACTATATTTTCTCACAGTTACAGAATTCAGCTCCAGCTATGTTGCGAACTAAGCAGGGCATTTAATTCTGTATCTACAACAACATTCTGCATCTATTGTAACTGCTTAATATCAGCAGCAAAAATATTTTGTGTGAAGCAACACTTCAATAAAATGTTGCAATATTTTCACCTGGATAATTGTCATCTTTTAAATTCTGCCCAACATAGTCTTGTGACGTAGAGCGTTCGTTTTCAATACATACATGTATGTAAGGTGTATAAAACAAGGTGTGGGTGACAAACCAGGTCGGCTCTCTTTTAAGGTACTATTATGCTAAAAAATATAAACAACGATTCAAAATTCATACAAAATTTGTTTAATTTTAATGATCATATAATTAAGTTTTTTGTGCATATTTTTGTCCTCCCTAGTTATAATATTTATTGCGTTTTAAAATTGCTAGTCGGACCCCACCATTAAACCAACGGCAGGACGAAGACCTGCCACAGGTTCGAGTAGGGACATGAGTGCATTTAATACACTTTCGCTCAGGAAACGATGTTTCTCATTGACCGTGCTGAGACACCATCAATCCAATTGATCTGCAAGAGGTCACTGAAAAGGTTGTTGACATCTAAGAAACGGTAGTAAAAGAAGTTAATACATAGGTATTGTCATCAAAGTGATCAAGCTTAACGTCAAAAGAACAAAATATCAAGTCATGATCAGATATAAAACATATCTGGTCAAATTTTAAAATAATAGGAAGGTCAGTACAGCAAAGTAATCTAATAAGCTGGGTCAGAAATTGCTTCCATATCTTGTGGGCACCGACACATTAACCAGAGACAACCCAACACAGTAGACGTCATCAATTAAACGAGCACTGGTAGAATCAGGACATAACAGGTTCACATTAAAATCACCACAAAGGATGAGCTCGTAATCTATAGAAACATAGACAGAAAATTAAAAATCACATAGGCTGAAATACTTATAAGGGTTATACACACAAGGCAATAGGTTTTCGACGAGGGGTTAGACATTTCAACAGACAGGTATTCTAAAAACAAGAGGAAGCTAAATGTTATACATATTATTAAACTTATAAATTTGATGTTTGAACGTAATAATAAAACAACTTTTAGGTTCATAAAAACTCTAAAATATTAAATAAGCGTATCAAAAAAGGGTTAAATTTTCTGCTGGACTTTCAATAGGCAAAAATTTACAAATTATATTCGTATTAATATAACAAAACTTTAATTAGAAATTAATTTTGGATATGAGACACAAGTCTCAACTTCGTTTCAGAGAGCAGTTAATGCAAAAAAAAAATTACACTCTCATAGCCCAAACTAAACAAAATGCCTTCTCTCAACAACAGAAGATAAAGGACCAACCGTATATAAAATTTTACCGCAATCACACCACTCAGTAAAAACAAAGTGAGTAAAATGAAAGTAGTAGTCGTCGAATCGAAGAACATTAGTAGCATTATAAATTGTATGAAATGGTATAATTATAACTTACCGTCGGTACACACGGCATGTTTGGCGATATAAATCCCAGTCCTCGAGAGCCTACACCGTTAAAACAAGATTTTATGTTCTGCATAAATTTTCGTCGAATAGATTTCAAAGAATATATACACAACGCTGAGTTATCAGTAGAAACATTTCCATCTCCAACACTGAAAACTCCATATAAAACGTCATCTTGAACAGTTATACCCAAACTTCCGGCTAGATCTGCGCTTGGCTTGCCCAAGTACCCAGCCTGAACTAAATTGTACTTAGTTCCGCCAGTTATGCAGTCAATTGGGATTTCCGTGTAAGAATAGTAATTCGAGTCCTCCTGACAAATTCGAACAAGTTTAGTTATGTACTCTTTTGGAGAGGAGTGATAATTATGTTTCAATTGAGTCGTTAGAAAATACGAGAATCGCTCCGAGCTGAAGCCATATACGTAATTTATTAAATACCCTTCCCGGGCATACGAGTTAATGAAAGTACGTGTTCCTGTTGTCACAGCCGATGATGCAATTTGGAACATTTTAGTTTTTTCCAGTGAACGTGAGGCAACCGCAGGTATCTCGCTCCGATAGGGAGAGTTATTTGTGTAAGTGACACCAACATACATAACATTGGTGATAGGTGGTTGTGGTGGTCCCGGCGCTATGAATGCCACAGTGGAAGAGTTTGCATCATTCGCCACCACTGCATCTGGTAAATCCTGCTCCACTATACTAACATTTTGTAAATTACGTACCGTACATGTTCCTTGAAATAGGGATCCACATGCTATCAGGCGCGAAGTTGCACGATCTATTAAAAGTACTTTGTTGTAGTTATCTGTAGGTCTGCGCATAGCATGTGCTGGACAGTCTAATACCGTACACTCAACAGAGTCATTTCTTGGGCCGGTTTTTACCTTTTCGTGTAATTCTAGTTCCGGTGAAAGTTGATATAAAAAATTTACACCACCAACAAACACTCTTCCAGTGAATGTGTCGACGACCAAATGATTTAAAGGTGTATCGAAGTGAATAGCACTCGTAATTATGCTGCTATAGTTTTTGGTATCTGCTGAACTCCTCTCATGGACGTCTTTAACTTCTTCACCGCCGAACTGTGAGTGCGATAAAGCAGACGCTGACGGAGCACTTCCGCCGCCGTTTCCAGTAAGCGCCAACTTCAAACTTGCCGATGTAAATCCATCAATTACACCGTCACTATTCTCCAAAATATCCTCCTCATCATTAAGTAGAGTTTGGGACGAGTGACCATGTGCAGCATCAAGTAGTGTGCGAGTAAATAAAATTTCTGTGCTGCTGTGACTGTTATCATTAATTCTACTGGTACTCCTAATTTGGCTGCTCTGAGTATTAAAGCTTCCTATAGACGTAACGTAATTTAGCATGAATGCCAGAAGGAACCAAATTATAAACCGCATGTTTCATAACATAAGATCTGAAAAGGAAAGATTTATTTAAAGAGGAATCTTTCTTTTGAATACTATGGTTTACTTAATATTATTTTGATAGATTATAGTGTTACTTGTGAATTCTGTATAAACATTCTTGTATTCTAATGTTTGAATGTTTTTAAAAGACAACTATTTGATCACTGTAAAACTCTGGCTATTAGGTAGGAAAGCACGGAACGGAATGGAAACCAGGCCTTTCCATCCGACCAAGCAGCAAATGATCTAGCATACGAAAGACGCTGTGAGTATGGATCGGAAACTCGGTCTTTCCGACTATGCCCAACAGCCCGACCATAACGCGGAGCGGAAACAAGGCCTTTCCGCCCGCTTCACATCACGGAATCCAGCGTCAGGGTTTGCATATTAAGGACGACGGGAACATGGATAGGAAACTCGGCCTTTCCGACCGTGACTATCAACTCGTGAGCAACGCGGAGCGGAAACAAGGTTGTTGTTGTTGTAGCGGCTACAACAACCCCGCCCAGATCGGCTGATATCTCAGCCGTTGTCGCCGAGTTCCACTAACGGCAGCCCCAAGAAGCGTGCAGCCTCTATGGGGTCAGTCCATAGGGACGACGCCGTTAGGGTTGTGGGGTTTTCCCGGCATGCGAAGAGATGTTTCGAGTCATGAGGGGTCTCTCCGCATGCCGGACATTCGTTCGGCACATCCGCATTTAACCTACACAGGTATGAATTTAGCCTGCTGCAGTAGCCAGAGCGAAGTTGGGCTATTGTCGTTCTGGTCTCCCGAGGTAGATGGAGCTCGGTCATGTCAATCCGGTGTTTGTGCGCCTAGAACGGCATTCACAGGTCTTGAGTCTACATAACTCGAGACTGCGTCCCTGTGAATGCCGTTGAGGGCCTGTCTATGAGCTGAAGGGTCCAGAGGCTGCTTAATGAACCTCTGGACCTTGTCCGTCAGTTCATATAGATGCCTCCTGACGTGCCTCGGCGAGGGCCCCTCTGCAAGCAGCTGTCTATTCGGGTGGCCACATCTGTGGCTCCCAACAAGAAACTGCTTGCAGAGCATCGTGTTGTGCTCCCTAATTGGGAGCATTTTCGCCTCAACGTGGAGGTGGTGTTCTGGTGACATCAGGAGGCATCCCGTCGCTGTCCTAAGTGCTGTATTTTGTACCGTCTGTAGCTTCGTCCACTGCGTCCTGCTAGTCCCCGGCGACCACACTGGTGCTGCGTAGTTCAAAACCGGCCGGCCTATTGCCTTGTATGTTGCCAGCAACGTTTTTTTGTCTTTGCCCCAAGTACTGCCGCCTAGCGACTTGAGGACCTTGTTGCGGCTCTGTACTTTATTGACAATTGCGGTTGTGTGCGCAGAGAAGGAGAGCAGGCTGTCGAATGTTACTCCGAGTATTTTAGGATTATTCACCGTCGGAATTGGTGTGTCATCGACGTGAATTCCTAGCGGTAACCTGACCTCCTTCGTCCAGGTTGTGAACAGGGTCGCAGACGATTTCGTAGTGGAGAGGGCTAGACACTTTGCAGTGAAGAAGCGAGAAAGGTCAGGGAGATATCCGTTTACTTTCGAACACAAGTCATCAATTCCATTCCCAGTCGCCATGTTCGAGCAATCGTCGGCGTAATAGACAATCGAGACTCCCCCTGATGGTTGAGGGAGCTTTGAAATGTAAAAGTTAAACAGTAGTGGGGAAAGGACATCGCCCTGTGGAACCCCCTGTTTTATTTTTCTAAGTTTGCTCGATTTGTCTCTAAACATTACCGACGAGTGTCGACCACTCAGATAATTTTCCGACCACCGTTTGAGCGTCTGTGGGAGAGAGGAAGCCTCCATATCTTCTAGTAGCGTGGAATGGCTGACAGTGTCAAAAGCCTTTGACGGGTCCACCGCTACTAGAATCGTTCTCCCACAGGGACGTTTACAGTTAAGCCCACGAGTTATCTGAGTGTTTATGGCGTTAAGTGCTGTTGTTGAACTGTGCACTTTACGGAAACCATGCTGATGCTTCGCTGGGGTCAAGTGGTTTGTGAAGTACGGGAGTAGCAAGGCCTCGAGTGTCTTCGCTACCAGAGAAAGGAGTGTTATCGGACGATAAGAATCTCCTATGTTGGCAGGTTTCCCCGGTTTGAGCAGTGGGACCACTCTCCCGACCTTCCAGATGTCTGGGATGATGAGAGTGGCCATGGACAAATTGAGGACCTCCGTTAGGTACGCTACCCCCGCAGGACCCAAATTTTTCAGCATCAGCATGCATATTCCGTTGGGACCCATGGCTTTGGAGGCTTTCGCCTTCCCGATGGCCACCTGAACTTCACCGCAAGTGAAAGCAAGGGGGGCACAAGTTGTTAGCAGTCTGTGCAGCCTTCTGGTCACTCGACGCTTGGCTTTGTCCACCGAAGGATGCAGTATGAACTGCCGGCTAAAATAGCTCTCGCATCGCTCCGGGTCCGACGAAGCATGGTCGCCGAAAGAAATTTCGACTCTGTCGTCGTGCTTCGTCGGATTGGACAGTGACCTCACGGTTGACCAAAGCTTACTCACACCAGAGGTGAAGTTACAGGTCTTCAGATGCTCATCCCACTTCTTCCGCTTATGTACGTTACGCCGAATCTCCGCGTTGAGATTCCTAATACGGGGATCTCCGGGATCGGCCTGACGAAGGCTGTCGCGCTCATCGGCTAGAACAGCCGCTTCGGCAGGGAAGTTTGGACGTGGGTCCGTTATACATCCTGCTTACGTTCACCGAGATGGACGTCGGTTGGTGTGAGAAGCGCAGTGAGGGTGTTTTCAGTAAACTCCGCGTAACCTTTCCAATCAGCTTTAGATGTTGATATAGGTCCTCGTCCAGTCTCGCGTGGTACGCAGACCTGAGCATGCCCTAAAGTGGCACCAGCCAAGGCAGGTGTTGCACTTGACTGATGTCACATTACGGAATATCCTGGTCTGACATACCGTGCAGATTGTAGGAGGAACCACGAGTTGTTGACGGCGGCGTGTTGGTGGTGGTGCGGCTGTGTGTGTTCTATAGTCTGTCGTGGCTGTGGTATGGTCTGTGGTGTTATTATGTTGTTGTGCTGTGGTGGCTGTGTGAGGCTGCTCTGGTGGACTGAGGTTGGCCGTGGAGTCTGCTCTGGTCCACTGCCGATGTGTCCGTAGTCCTGAGCAGACTCTGAGGCGACACCACCCCTCGCAAGCATTGCACTTGACAGAGGTGGAGTTGTGGTGTAGTCGTCTCTGGCATACACAGCAGGTGTAGGTTTCTGGCCCTGGGTTTGACTCGATGCCAGCCCTGAGTAGGAGAAAACGTAGCGAACGTAGCCCTATGGACGAACAACTTCTAAGATACTTTGCCGACCTAAACTGGGTTAGATCGCCGAAACAGCCCTTGGTCGGGTAAAACCCGAGTCATTCCGGTACGTAGAACCGGCTGTCGTGGGAATGCGGAAACAAGCTACCAAACTAGTTAGACAATATACATTTATATAGGTTAATTGATAGTTTTAGAAACATAAACAGCTTTGTAATTGAAAATTTAAACTTACATATACGCATACTTTGTTATATATTAAAAATAGCTATCTGTACTTTGAAGTCGCAAGACTGTAACAAATAAATAAATAAAATAAAAAAAATATATATATATATGTATATATAGGCCTGTTTTTAACCTCGTCTCGTTTCGAGTTAAGGCGCTGGTCCAATGCAGGCTTGCCTTGCAAGCTTTGCTGGTTTGGTTTTGCTTTGTTTAACTTTGATAACTTCTTTGGCTAAATGGTGGCTTCGAAAGCTGTCAAAGCAACAAGCTCTGTGATTGCGCTATCTAAGTCTGCCCCTTAATATAAAAAAAACGCACGAAAGTCCAGAACATTTTGGAGAGACCTCTTTCAAAAAGAGAAATTCGAAATAATACGTATTATGTTCTAAACCTATTTAGAAGTAATGTGAAGTAATCTTTGCATGTCACAGAAATAATGATACATATACAGAAGAATTATATTACACTAGCAGACCTGTCGAACTTCGTTCCGCCCAAAATTTATTAGAAATAATTGAAACACTTTTCGAACTCTGTCGCCTCGCGACCCCAGCGTCTCGCTGCACTGCACTCGCACCGCCCCCAAGCCTTCTTCGCAAAAAACGGGTTTTATGTTTTCCAAACAAAAATTTTAAAAAGCGCAATAAAATCATAATGGCTTTATTTCCATTTCCAGTTGTAAATAAATAAATGGAAGGTATGCATTTCATATCCATGCACACATATCGCATGCCGTCTTCAAAAGAGTCACAACTCAAAATAATACGTTTGTAAGAAAATGCGAAAAAATATTTCTCAGCACATGATAATCATATGGGCAGGGCGACTTTACCTTAGGTTTTTTTAACAAATTATAATAAAAACTTGCTCCAGCTTTTGCTGAAAGTTCTATAAAAGCTCTGTGTACATTTTTAGCGCATAATCTCAAAAATGCCAAATCTTGAGTTGGGTGAAAATTGGACCCCGGATTTCAGTTAAGTTCGAATTTTTGCGTGAAAATTTGTGGGTAGAGAGGTTTCTAGAAAGGGATTCTGAGAATTTTTTTTTAATTTAAATTTTTAAAGTTTTTATAAGCAAATATATTTTTAAGCAATCTTGTTTTCAAAACTCATTTTCTCTTAAAGTATTTGACGAAAGTTGATGAAATTTTTTTT